ATCAGTGAGGGTTCGGCTTACGAGCGAAGTAAGAGGTGAGTTGAAGTGGGAGTCGGGCGACCCGACGAGCTGGTGCCGAATGCACGGGGTTGACGCGTGGGGCTACAACGGACTGTAGCGAGCGGGCGAACCTGACGGGTGAAGGGGGACTAAGCGGGGTGACGACTTTGTGGGTTGGTGCGTGACGACGGACTGTCCGCATCGGAAAGATAGAGAGAGAAGGAGAGAGCTAAGGTTGATGGACGTGGATTTGCAATTTTCTTTGTATTGTCTCCCTCTTTGCAATTTTCTTTGTATTGTCTCCCTCGACTCAGGGGGACTCGCCCGTTTTCTTTTGTTTTCGGAATCCTTGCCTCGGTTTCAGCCCACACTTGTTTTGCGATTGATCTTGATCTCAGCTATTGTGTGTTTTGTTAAACGAATGGATGAATGAATGATATAATTGTTGTTTTCCTGACTGGTTATCGTCTTTGCTTGCCATTTTGATACGTCGTTAAGCATAGTGGAAATTCTGACGTCTGATATATAATGACAGATTGCATGCTCATGAATGATTGCTTGTGGGATCACTGAGTGATTAGATGATTGGGTAGTTGTCCATGGCACGTGGCGATTTTGCATGAGGAATTAGACTCTCATTTTTCCATAAATAAGCGAATACCTCAGGAGGCTACGTGTAAGCGCGATCTGATCTGCGCAGCCTACACGTATCCACACACGCCGATTCGCGGCCATTGACGAACTTGGCACCTTCGGTATCGGGTAGGCGGGAATTCTCTTTCCCTCACGCACCTAAACGGATAGGAATTTCCGATATCGCATCGAGAAATCTCCTTTCCAGTTAGATGCGTGCGGAAGGCTTCCACTACGCCGCAATGACAAGATGTCAGACTCATGGGACTCAAAGTACTTCGAACCTTGGGTAAGAGAAGAAATCAGACAAAGACGTCCAAAATTTCCCTGCCTAACCGAGAACCGATTGTGCCCCTGGGAGTTTCGTTGTGCCGTAACCAGCGATCCGAGGTGCCCCGATTACCCAACTACGTATAACACGCAATACTTCATATCCCCCGACTTTGTCGTTATCATTACCAACTTCCCTCCCTTCCGTCTTCTCCTCCCGTATCACCAGCTCACTATGGTACCGTGGAATTCCATCGCCCCGTATTGGCCCCGCACGCTGTGCAGAAACTGCAGACGACGCAACCACCAGCGAACCCCAGGGACTACGGAGCCTAACTACAACACGCGGCGACATATGCCACGTGTCTGCTCCCGAAGATCCGACTTCTAAGAACCACAGCCCTCACGAGCCTCTCCCGAACCGCCGTCACCAAAACAGACGGATCGGACGGCCTCTGACGCACCGCGCATGCCATTTGCCTTAAGCTGCACGACATCGACCGCCATCAGACCGAGAGTAACCCGCCCCTTAGTCCTATTGCATCTATGCCCCTGAATCCTTGCCACAAGAGATCTCAGTTCCGACCTGAGACTCCACCCCCACTTTCCCAAAAATCCTTGGCACACCCCTTTTCGCACTTCCAGGCCCACATCCCACTCCGATCAGGAAGTCGCGCCGGGCGTGAGGTTGGTATCGGAGCCCGACACGTGGCAGGGTTCTAGGACTCATAGCTGGGCGATCTGGCTAACAGGGGACGACCTCGACCCCGGAACGTGCATCAACACGATCCCGTCGTCACCAGAAGCCGGTCTGCGGCCCGACGGGCAGTCAACATGAACGCTAATCAGCAGAACCCCCAACAGAACTGAATCCCTAGTAGAATCCTAATCAACTCGTACCACGAGCACGGCCACCCATGACGCCACCCGATCTCTATCTATTCGATCCCGCTCATCACCTTGTTGGAGCATGGCTGGCCACGCTCCGAGCTCAGCAGTATGATGACCATGAGGCGCAGGTAAATATCCCCGCACGCTTGGGAGGAGACGCCCATCACTGGTTTAGCATTTATGTATGGGTCGATCTCCTGACATTCGAGTGAGATTTTCTGAATCGATTCAATTGCATCCACGTGGAACAGGCTCTTTTTACGATTAAAGATCGAGTTCAAAACCCCCTCGAATCTGTCACCGAGTATCAAAACCGATTCTATAGGATGTTTGGGAAAACGAATCGAGGCGAACAGGTAGGCAGAGACTTGTTCATCGGCGGACTTCGCAGCCGAACGATGAGGGCGAAACTGCGAAAACAGTTCTCCCCCATCAACCACACGCTGCAACAGATCATGGCAGCCGCAGAGGAAATGGAACGAAAGTTCGCTGCGAGTTTCCTAGAAGGGGAAGACTATCCTAGGGAAGGAGACTCGTCCGAACTAGCGAGAGCTAAAGCTGAGTTGGCTGCACTACACAACAAATTTGAAAACATGGGGTTTGTGTCGGGCCCTGTCACCTATCTGGAACAGATTAGTCCCAAACGACAGGTCCCGAGTGTGATTACGAGCATGCCCGTGCCCGTGATGACAGCACCCCCGCCACCGATCGAAACCCCCGCATTACCGAATGAGTCTTTCACCCTATTGAAACTGACCAAAACACTAGTCAATCTAATCCAGGAAAGCGAAAAGGAACAAGGGGAGCACAATGCTCGAATAGAGGCGATGATGAGGTTGATGCATCCAATAGAGGTGCGTGCCGCCCCGATTCAGCAATGATTGGCTCCGGCACCGCCTCCCGCAGGGATCCCTGGCAATCAGAATGTTTATTACACATGCCATCAGCCAGGGCACATAGCCCGAGATTGCTCCCATCGACCCCCGCGGCAACGAGTCAGCGCTCCACCTGTAGCAGCTGCACCGATCGCTAACGGGCCGGGACGAGTAGGGGCGCTGATGGAAGAAATGGAGGGAGGCAGAAACACATTAGCTACGGTGGAGGAAGCTGCTGAACTAATCCCGTTGGATCAGTATGTAACGCTTGGTTACCCGGGGCTTGGGATAATTGGAACCATTAGACCGGCGCCAGGACGAAGGGAAGTGGCGGAGTGGCGACCTTCTCTAGGGGAGATGGAGTCGGGAGGACCCACCTTCGTCACGCGGGAAATCGATGTTCTCAACATCATCCGAGCCTTGGATCATCGGATTCCTCTTCCGATCGGCCATCTACTTTCGATATCAGAACAAGCCAACGAACGGATGTTGCAACACTGCAAGGCGAATCAGAAACGATTCGCCCCGAACAACGAGCACAAAAATGAAAAATCCCATGCCAGATGAAAATGCAGCAGGTATTTCAGACCCGATACGGTTAGGATTGATTAAAAAAGATGATCATTTCCTACGGATTAAACCAATACCATGGAAATCCGCAGAATGCGATATCGAGGTATGGGGAATCCCGTACAATGCTATCATTGATTCCGGGACGCTGTCCTAGCCATCTCATTACGGATAATTGAAAGGGCGGGAAGAAAGAACGATCTAATCATGCTTACAGAAAAAGATCAGCTGGTTTCAGCAGATGAAGAGAAGATTAAGACCGTAGGACGAATGACCAATGTTGCCTTTCGATTAGGAAAAGTACATGCCTTAGGAGATGTTGTAGTCTTATACGTAAACACTTACGACGTCCTTTTTGGCCCTCCCGCCCTGGTGGCCTTGCGAGCCAATCTGGATTTCGAGAGGCGATTGATCGTCCTCTGGAATACAGGAGGAAAGTCTTATGTTGTACCTATGAGACTGACTCTTCGAACTATGGCTAACGTAACCCCGCGAGTTTCTCCAATGATGGGAGAAACTCTTCTCGTGATTACCTGGGATAGCTCTGCTGACAACGAACAATCTCTGAAGGACGTGGACAGCAGTGACGAGGACGATCCAGTAATTCTGAAAATGGCGCAACAGCGTATCTATTACCCTGTGCAACGAGCAAACACAAGATCGTTAAGCCTACATGATCAGAGTCTACAAAGAACGCAAGCTATGATTATGGGTGAACCCCTTGTGCAGATTTCGAGGATGGTCGATTATTTGGAACCCCCTCGAACCTTGTACGAAGGTATCTCCCCTTTACTCTCATGATATACTGACAAAAGATACTACTGCGCTATCACGAATCTCCCACAATCTCTTTTGACACCTGCAAAATAGATACGATTGATACGTTTAGGGGCGGAGACCACTTCTTTGAAACCCCCTTAGCGCCTCGAAACCGGATTCGGAATTAAAATCGCAACGAAATCAGTGCCATGGCAGGACATCTGAGACGGAATAACGCTGGAAGAACATATGGTCATTCGAGAGGAGGATGCACAGATGATGGCTAGGGTATTCTCCTGGCGATAGGATAATCCGTTTATTTCCGCGCCCCCGCCCGAAAACACTAAGCGGGTGAGTACGAAACACATCGATGTACGGATATGGGATAAGTTATACGAGTTGCACGTGCCCCAATACATACCTGATGAGATCCATCATCTAATCGTGAAAATTCTAAAAGAATACAAAGGAGGATTAGTCTGACGGACATAGACATTGGACTGTCGTTAGTCATACAACACGAGATTCAAACTGGAAACCATCCCCCGATTCACTGTAAGCCCTACAGATACTCCCTGGTAGAACGGAAAACGGCCCTTGAGCGGATTCGAGAATTCGAAGCTAATGAGTGGATCGAACCCGTCACTGGACATGGTCATTCCCAGTAGTATTGGTGCCGAAAAATAATGGATCAATTCGCATATGCATTGATTATCGCAAACTGAATGACATCACGATCAAAGATGTGTATCCTCTTCCCAGGATTGATGATCTGCTTGATGTTATTGGATGTGCTAATTATTTCAGTAAATTTGATATTCGCCACGATTTTCATCACATCCTGGTTAAGGAGGAAGATCGACTGAAAACGGTCTTTGTATTGTTTGAAGGCATGTGGCAGTGGGTTCGATGTCCGATGAGGATTTGCAACGCGCCTGCCACATTTCAACGAGCTATGAAAGTGACGTTTCAGAACTTTGTCAATAAGACGCAGCTCACTAAGGGGATGATTAACTTCTGCGTCATCATGTATATGAATGACATCCTCGTCTGCTCGGAGACCTTTCACGGGCATGCACATCACATCGAATGGACACTGGGAGCTCTAAGAGATGCTGGGTTCAAGATCACGCTCGAGAAGAATGAGTTTTTCCTCTCGGAAATCTCGTTCTTGGGTTACGTGGTGACACATGGAGGATTGCGACCAGATTCAAGGAAAGGCGCGGCGGTGAAAGACGCTCCCGTCCCCACGTCAGTGACGCAGGTTCGAGCTTTTCTGGGACTGGCATCATACTACCGTCGTTTTATCAAAGGCTTCGCTGCGATTGCGCGACCTCTGACGAATCTGTTGCGAAAGGACCAGCCCCTCAGTTGGGACGTAGAGTGCGAGCAGGCCTTCGCCACCCTCAAAGGCGCTCTGGCGACTACACCTATTTTGATCCAGTCGAACCCTACAAAGCACTTCATTCTTATCACGGACTGGCAGCCAGAGGCGATCTCCGCTATTCTAGCGCAGAAGGGGAACAGCGGCCGAGAGCACGTCATCGAGTACGTGTCTTGTACGGTGCCCGACGAACGAAGGAACGATTCAGCCCCGCAAGGTGAATGCTATGCTGTAGTCTGGGGAATTCAGCACTTCCGTCCGTACTTATACGGACAAAAGTTCCTCCTTGTAACCGATCACGAACCATTATTGGCTCTCAAGGAACTCACTAATTATACGGGTATGATTGGACAGTGGGCGGTGCGCCTACAGGAATACGACTTCGACATCATCCATCAAAAGCACGGCAACGCGGACGGGTTGACACGTCTGCATCGCCCCGCTAAGGTACTTAAGGGTGAAGAAATCATTCCGTGGAAGGAGCCAGAGTCAGCCAACGAACCCAAGTACGGACAAGTGGCGGTCCTTCCACGTGGCGAGAAGTAGACGATTGACAATGGGTAACGGAGGTAATCCTACAACTCCTCTCTCTCCCCTCTCATCTTCATCTTTCCTCTCCCTACCCGACAAATTTTGTTATTTTTGTGAAGCGATCTCACGCGTCTACTCGATCTCAATGCGTCCTAGTGGGGAAGGGTATGCAGAATGGATAGATTATCGACAGTGTGTCGCACGAGCCCATGGCTCGTGCATCTAGTACAGAAATGGCGATAAGCCTTGGTTGTGTCCCTTGTGTCGGACTGATAAGATCCCGATTGAGGCTCGATTTCTCGACGCCACGTCAAAAGGGTTGGAAAAGACCCGGAAGTTTAGAAGGGCCGAGGTATGGACGAACGTCGCTCTAATAGCTACCTTGGTAGGTAACTCCCTCCAGGACTTCACTAAGGAGAATCGGAGGAGGGCCAACGAAAGGGCTAGGGACTATCGTTGGAACGAGGGTCGGTTAGAAAAACGAAAGACTGATGGAAGTGGGATTTGGATGGTAGTGCCGCACTCGTTCATGAGGTATGACTTGGTTAAGATGGCGCATGAGGAAACGACAGCCCATTTTGCCGTACAGATCATGGAAGCGGCAATCGACAAGAACAAATGGTATTGGTCCAATATTCACGATGATGTGAAATTCATCGTCTCGAACTGCCAGGTCTGCGCTGCTGACAAGGCGCCGATCCAGCTGCCAAGATCGATAGTACCGACGGTAGTTGAACCGTTGTTTCTGAGGGTTAGCATGGATACTACCTATATTGTGGTGCCCCCTGGACGGAATAGCTGCAAGTATTCAATCCTACTAGTATTCGTAGACCACTTTTCGAAATGGATTGAGGCATACTCGTGTCGTACACGACAAGCGGCTGAAATTGCACGATACGTCAACCGTTTTCTAGGGATGCACCAGGACACAGAGGAAATCATGACCGACAATGGGGTAGAATTCAGAGGGGAAGTTTTAAGGAATCTGGTCGTACATGGCGTCGCCATTCGGAATACTGCACCCTACATGTCGCAATCTAATGGCATAATAGATAACGCAAATCGGGTGATAAAAACAGCATTGTGACGAAACATCGCGGCACGGGACCCGAGACCCGGACCCGATATCGTAGATCACATCCTGGCGGTTCATCGAGGAATGCCTCACGAATCGACGGGCCTTAGCCCCTTCCAATTACGAACCAATAGCATAGCTTGTGTCCCGATACCGAGCCTCCCCTACAAATCTTCATTGAACCGACGACCCACAAGGGCCACGGTTCGGGACAAGGCCGAGCGGCACATGGAGCTGATGGAACAGTCCCTTACCCGATTAGCCCGAAAACACCAGAAAATGACTGAGTTGGCCCACAACCGACAGATCCGTAGCTACGAGGCCCGAAATGGGAACGCAGGACCACGGTGCAAGTGAGGAAATGTGCTCGCCAAGGGAAGATAGCGCCACGATTCTTCGGGCGATTTCGTATGATCGAACTCGGACCGAACGGGGTGAACATCGTGCGCCTCGTGCCGAAGGTCTTGGGAAGCCGATCGGCTCGACCAATCGTCCGCCACGTGTCCTATCTACGTCCTCTCCATTCCTCTCAATCTCCAGCTGTGTCTGCTTCCTCCTTCGCTACGAAAGAGGACGACGACTCTTTATCGCTTTCATCCCCTCCTGCATCTATCGACCCTTCTCATACCCCATGGCCATCGCCATGAGTTTTCTCACTGAGCAGGCTCTCAGCGATCACATGTTGGCGCCACGCGGCGACATTTCGGCAATTCGGCAAGTCCATCACCCGCGATTCAGTCCGGATCTTCTATGACTCGCGCAATTCTTCTGTACCACGGGAGTGTACGAGGCGGCAAAGTTCCGATTTACGAGCCATCATCAAGCGATCATGTTGGCAGAAGGGACGACAGTTCGACGGTTGTCAGCACTAGGAGTTAGCCACGTGTTTACCGTCGTCCTCTTCAGCGGTGATATTAGTGTGATATGCCCTCTACGACACACGACCATCCGGACGTCACTAAGGGAGTGGGGCCAGCAGCTGGCAACGGAGTGGAATCAATGGCTTACGAGCCACGGCGACAATCTTGTTCCCCTGGACGGCATCGACGTCGGAGGGCTCCGGATGGCTCGGCACGAACCGGCGGTGGTGCTTCCGGAACTCGTTCCCTTCCGGCGTCCTCAATGAACCGCTCCCAACTCTCTACCTTCGCTCTCCCCTCTCTCTTCCCTACCTTCTTTGCCCCCGTCTCTCCTTTCGCCTGAAACCACTTGTTGTCCCCCTCCTCGATCAAAGGCAGTGGGAATTGTGGTGTGAACACTTCGTCGATCTTTTGGTGTGTTTGGTCGGGGTGCAGCTGACGTGGACGAGGGACATAGAACACTGTGCCTGGACCGAATACGTGGAGCTGCTGATCATCCAAGCTTGGAGGACAGAGGTGGAAGGAGACCTTCTCGGATTTCTATCCGGATCGGTGCGGCCCGGCCATCGACAACTGATCGTACAGGAGCTCACGATTCCTCTCGTGCAGCTGGTCGATGATCTCCCTCTCGATATCGTTTCACAGTGCGACGAGAGCCTGGTCCCGCACATCCTTTCACGAACTCTGACGCCCTACCTACAGTGGTCGGCCTGCCTCGAGGAATAGGGAAGTAATAGCAACCCGCCATCGCAACGAGAGTACCTGGACCCGCGGAGGTTAATCGACCTCGCCTTCTTTCAGTCTCGAACGGCCTCTGAAGACGAAGGGCTAACGTCAGAGGAGGAAGAAGAAGAGGGCGTAGAGGGAGGCGGCGAGGAAGAAGAAGAGGAAACCTCAGAAGAAGCGGGGAGTTACAGTGAATACAGCAAGGAAGAGTCGGGTGAAGAGGAAGAAGAAGAAGAAGAGGAGGAGCAGTTGGAGGAAGAGGAGGAATTTGAGTGGGAGACTTTGGGTGAAGAGGCGGATCGCACAGAGACTCAAGAGGAGGATCCCGAGGCAGCGCGAAAGAGAGAGGAGATAGCAGCTAGGAAGCAGCCCCTGGAGTTCGCAAGCGGAGTGGATCTGCCGATCCCGAACGACCCAGCCAAGGATCCCGAGCCGCCCAAGAACGACGATGGGGACCTTGCTACCGAGACTTCGAGCGCACCGGCCCGACGGCGATGAAGCCGATCCCCCTCCCCTTCCACCTCCGCCCGTCCACCAGTTCGAGCTCGTACTAATGCGGGGCATCGGGCTTCGTCCTCAGTCCTTATCCCATCGTCCCCTTGACTACCTCACCCTCTGCCAGATCACTACCCGCATCACCTTCCCTTGCAATCCATTCCCAATCGACACCTTTCGCTTCTTCTACGCTACCCGTCTTGCTGTCATGGTTCATCCCCATCCCTCTACCCAGTGTGCCACCCCCCTTCTCTGTAGTGCGGCGTGGCGAGGCCACAACATCATCGAGGTTTACTACATGATCACGGGGACTATCCCCGCATGCGAAAACCACAATCACTTCCGCACGACACTCTTCCGAACTTTCACCACCCTTTACCCCGACTATCTCGCCTCCCTCCCTCATAGCGGTAATCGATTCCCTCGCTTCCACCGGATCATCCGATATCAGGAGCTTCCGGTGACAGTCGCAGGGTTGGAACGCTTTCTACCCCCACTCCCGACTAACCCACCTCCGCGCCATGCCCCCATGTATCGTCTTCCCTTTCCCCTTCCCTTAGGTCATTGATGCACGAGCGATTGGCACGTTGTCGGAAGACGGTGCGGGGCAGCAGCAAAAAACGACTCGCCACGGTCAACCCCCGCGCTGCGTCAAAATCGCGCCTAGGGACGTCCGCAGTCATGGTCAAACTGGAACCTAGCGCTTCAATTAGACTTCCCCTGGGCCGAAGCCGAGGGAAAAACGGCGCGACAGTACGGTCCTCTGGGGGCCTGATCGTCTCCGTTGGACTGGACCGACGCGACCGCAATGGGCCAATTAGTGGGGTCCGGTCCAAACGGCACCTGAAATGGACCAAGGGTTAGCGAGATATTCAAGTTTGACCGGTTGGGACTAGATCGACACGGCCGCATAAATTGGCCAGAAGAGGAATAGCCCTAAAAAGTCATGAACAGCTTGGCCCAAATAATTACGATAGGGTCGTGTGTTATTTTTAGCATGGGACTGACTGTTCGTCTCCCAAAGTCGGGCCTGCACCAGTCCCATTCTAAAATTAACACAGTCCCACGTTATTTTTAGCATGGGACTGACTGTTCGTCTACCGGGGACTGGGCCTGCGCCAGTCCCGTTCTAAAATTAGCACAGCCCCACGCTATTTTTAGCGTGGGACTGACTGTTCGTCTGCCGGGACTGACTGTGCATATCCCGAGGTTGGGACTGCTGCTATTTTTAGCACAGGCCCGGTCCAGAGTTTGACCATATCCCCGACCATGGGACTGCAACACTCAGCCCCGATCACCTGGCCTCTCCATTATAAAAGAGAGGCCACATCACCCAAAAACACAGATCAGACAGATCGAGAGCACGCTTACTTGCGGAATGCAGCACTGCTGGCAGAACAGCCAGTAAGAATCTCTCACACGCGGGAATGCGGAACGACTAGCGGGACAGCGACGAAGGAGAAGGACTGAAGCTACGGCATTAGAGCAAGTGGGAAGAGGGACGACCAAGACATGCAAGAAGGAGGTAAAGGGAAGGGGGTTGCTCGGGGAAGTACGGCGGTCTCAGTTTTCACAAGGGCCACCTTGCTTTCTCCCTCACCTCCTCTCCTATCATCTTCTTTCTGCTCCCCTGCTCGCTCTCTTCCCTTTCCTTCTTCTCGCTCGGATGTGTGAGGTCTGTCTAATCCCCCGCAAGCCCATTGGCTCATGGCACGGTTTTGATCTACCGTTAACCGCCCKCATACACTGTGCCCGAGGGCCGCCGGTGCTRAGCACTCGWGCTCGCCGTGCTCAAGGGCTGAGGATACCGTGTGCCCCCAAGCACAGTGCCTGAGAGCTGTTGRGATTGGGTACTCACGYGCACTRTGCCTGAGGGCAGTTGGTACTGTGCRCCCTTGCTCACCATACTTAAGGGYTGATACTGTGTATTCAACTGCTCTGAGCACGAAGAYTGTTAATGCTGAGTCATGYGGTGAACCCTGTCACATTTRGAGTGYTATACTTCGTTGTGTCTGGGTCGAATCTGCCAAGGGTTACATGATCTGTGTATCACTTCATATTTTGGACTTTGTATCAGCAAGCATTTGGCATAGAATTTGGCTGTGCCAATAGGCACTYAAACAGGGCTTGATGATTGGTTGTGCCAMTGAGCACTTAAACTGAATGATTAGCTGTGCCAATAGGCACTTAAACAGAGTATGATGGTTGGCTATTCGAGTCTCTTGATTCGCTGTACCAAAAGATGATTCGCTGCATAATGGTCCAGCCGCGACTGTGCACACTCGAATTTAAGTGTGACATTGCGCTTTGATCTTGGGTGCCGTGTGCGCACCATGTCTAAGTACCAAGTCTGCAACAGTACCATATCTGAGCATTCCTCAACAGTGCGCAGAGAACGCACCGTACTTGAGTATCATATCTAAGTAGTGCGCAGAGAGCACACCATACCAGAGTACCATAACTGAATGTTCCCCAACTGTGCGCAGAGAGCGCACCATACTTGCGCACCGTATTTGAGGACCATTTGTGGTATTCGTCACTGTGCGCAGTTACGCACCGTGTCTGAGGACCATTCGTGCTATTCGCCACTTTGCGCAGCTGCGCGCCGTATCTGAGGACCTTTTGTGCTATTTGCCACTGTGCGCAGCTGCGCGCCGTATCTGAGGACCATTTGTGCTATTCGCCCCTGTGCGCTGTTGTGGGCCGCACTTGAGGGCCATATCTGAGTTTGCCACTGTGCGCAGTGCGCACACCGCATTTGAGGACAACATCTGAGTATTTCGCAGTTTGCCACTGTGCGCAATGTGTGCATCGCACTTGAGGGCTACATCTGAGTATTTCGCAGTTTGCCTCTGTGCGCAGTGTGCGCACCGCACTTGAGGGCAACATCTAAGTGTTTCGCAGTTTGCCACTGTGCGCAATGTGCGCATCGCACTTGAGGGCTCCGTCTGAGTATTTCGCAGTTTGCCACTGTGCGTGGTGTGCGTACCGCACTTGAGGGCCATATCTTAGGGCCATATCTGAACAGTGCGCCGTTCGCACCATGCTTGAGGGCCATATCTGAGGGCCATATCTGAACAGTGCGCCGTTCGCACCATGCTGTGCGCTGTTCGCACCATGCTTGAGGGC